GTGGGTTAGATAAAATTTCTTCACGGCATTTCGGGCATGATTTTAGTTCTGGAACTCGGATACCACTCGCGATGATACCTGGTCCTTTTAAAATATTCAGTGCGAGGGCTCTACTATTAGAAGCCTCCATTCCGTCGACTTTTTTCTTGAGAAGGTGGGTGCTGTTCCTTTTAATATTCGAGTATTCGATCTCAAGGCCAAAACATACAAAGACATGAATTTGCAAGATAAAGTTAGTGATTATTTTGATGAAAGACCTGCAAGTGCTTGTATTCATATTATAGTAGAATCCATCAATTAGTTTTTTATATCTGTAATATCGTTGGCATGTATTAAAAGCTTCGTTTATATATACTATGTGGTTACGAGCATTTATACCCGATTGCTTTATTTATACAATAAAAAATACAAGTGAGGCGGGTAAACTATCTACCAGTTATTCTTCGGTGAATTTTTTGATCCTAGCCTTCTTACTGGCTGGGGAATTATCAACACTAGTTCTATCTTTTAACAATCCAACAATAACGCCCAATACTTGTTTCACGTCCTCTCTCATAGATTCTAGATCTTTTTTAAGTGCCGTTTTGGAAAGATTAATTCGATATTCACTTTTGCTGGTGCAATAGATACCATCGGTAGCAAAAACGATAAAATGCCACTCCGTAGCTAGGAATAAAAACGTTTTTCTATTAGTGAACCAGCAAAATAAGGAATTCGGGAATATTTGTGCAACATACCTGTAGAAACTATTCCGTAGAGGTAGTCATATTCATCCTTGAAAGCCTCATTCGCTGTGCGCTTCTTCTTATTGGTGTGGTACGCACTCTCTAGTTGCATGATATTCTGGAGGTAACCGATTTCAACGTTACGAGGCTTTCCTTCTGCTATACACATAAGATCCTCGTTTCCTTTAATGGCATAATCCACACGACCAGATGCCTCTTCTCCGGAAACTCCTTTCTGGTATGCTATATAGATTTTTTCTTCGTTGGTAATTCGTCGGACGATAGCCAGAGATGCGTTTAATATCGACGTAATAAATACACAACGTGTGGCCTCATTGGTACTATCTTGCATTGTTTCTAAATTCGAAAGTCTCAATGTAATTTCGCTCATACATTATTCCAGGGCTTTGTCGTTATCATCGATTTCCTCGAACACTGTATAACAGAAAAAACGTTAACATACAATTTATATGTGCGTGATAAATTGTCACGCCGATCACTTTTGCCAAGAAATTTCAGCGAACTATTTTGATGAAAAGTTCGCCCAAATAATGCCAAGAAAAAATAAAATAAAGTACCACATACCTGGATTGAATTGCTTTATACTTGTTATATCCTCTCCATTGACCTTATATTTACGGAGTACATCCTTTAGTTCATCCAAAGTTTTGTTCTGATATCTCCTCAATAAAATCTACAAGAATAGTTGCAGTTCCGAATGTAAAACCAATATCACGAAATTCTTTTTTGGTAGTCTTGAGAAATGCACGACCAGAGATCTCCTGTCGAAAGATCTTGAAATACGATTCTTTGAGATCTAGGTTTTCATGCCTCCGTAAATAATCGATAAGTTCTTCTGTCTTGTAATTTTTAATAACGTCTGCCATCGTGCGAGTTGACCTTTCTTCTGTCAAAGTAGATGATGTGGAAATTGGCGAGGATGGTGAAGAAGTATGTGAAGACATGGTGTTGTTTATATACGTGGAAATTTGCAAAATCTGGTTTATGTATCCTGCTAAGAAAAGCTATGTAATGCGATGCGAGTCCATGCGAGTCCATGCGAGTCTATGCGAGTCCATGCGAGTTTATGCGAGTCCATGCGAGTTTATGCGAGTCCATGCGAGTCCATGCGAGTCCATGCGAATCTATGCGATTCCAATTTTCGGGACCATAGTAATGAAATTTTTTTTTTGGACGCGCATAGGGTTTGTGTAACGTTTAGGTTAGATTATCATGCTATAAAAATTCACGCGTCGCTTTCTAACTTAATCTAAGACATAATGGATTTTTTCAAATTGGTCGCTAATAAACTACTTACAATACAGGCGGAAACGAGAAGATTTTTCATATGAAAGGGCGAAGGAGCACATGGATTACCAAAAAACATTAGAAGTACTAAGTAGATGCGTTGATTATGCAAAAAGGGCAAGACAATGTTTGGGCGATCTTGAAGTTAAGTTTACGCTCTTTTAACAAATTGAAATTGGGCAATTTCGTGTGTTCAAGGACTAGAATACGTTCCAGTCACCGAGACAACGATGTGACGTATTGACAATCACCGAGTAGCTGGCTGATTACGTATTGGCTGGTGATAGTGGATTACGCATTTCCTCGGCGTTCTTGAACTAAGAGCTAGAATACGTTCCAGTCACCGAGACAACAATGTGGCGTATTGACAACCCTCAAGTAGCTGGCTGATTACGTATTGGCTGGTGATAGTGGATTACGCATTCCCTTGGGCGCTCTTACATGTTATTGCCAAAACAAAAAGAATTTAGAAAAGGAATATTAATGTTTTTTGTTTTCTAATAATATAGAAGGAAAGATTTTCCGAGCGTGTAAATAAATTCTGGATGACAATCAGCGAAGAGCTAACTAATGACAAAATAAAAAATAAAGAGGTTTGTAAACTACATACACTAATTTATGCAAAATACAAACTGATAATTTTGGTTCTTATTACGAATAGAACGAATATGACTTAACCTCGACCACCAATGTCAATAAACAAATGGGAACGTATGTAAATGCTACCACTTCTCGTCTTACAAAACGGTTTTTAGAGTGTGCGAAAGAAAGCCTTCCAAAACGCGTGGCAAAGGTTAGTGCCGTGAATTTGAACCCATTGAGAATTTATTTATTTTAATTTTACGAATTTACTTCTAGAATTTAATGGAAGACGATCGCAACAATCCTCTTATTGTATCTGGAACATCTGATGGGAACGATTCAGACAAATCCTATCACCCCAGTTCGTAGCCAGATGATAATACTTTTATTGAAATAAAAAAGAGGATCAACCATACTTATGATTGATTTACGGGACCAGGAATTAAGAAATCTTCATTAAGTGAGGGTGCAAAAAAAGTAACATTTAAACTTTTATTTAGTTTTATTTAGAAAAGATTTTAATTCCTCCTTATAAATTCAGTGGGTTATCGACACGCTCGATGTCTCGAGTTTATTGTTAGAATATCGCGATATATCTGTTCAACGAGCTTCTGAGAATAAAATCGAAGAGGTTGCTGAAATACTGTAAGTTCTAAATTTTCAAGTCTTTTATGCGTTAGATTGTTTTTTTTTAAAATGCTTCTCATGATTGTTGTAGTTCGTTGAATCATATATTTTTATTCGAACAAAATGCGACATATGGAATTTCTTCAATGATCGAACCGGAATCATTAAACATTATTTTCGATACTATCAAAAATGAATTTGCTCCATGTCATTTGTCGAATGATGACGTATCAAATTTCAGGTTAAATGAATAGTATCAAAAAGTTTAAGCTAGTTATATTTATAACTATCAGTATAATATTCAGCTATTTCTTTTAAATGAATGTTATTTAATTATACTTTGTTAAGATTAACAGATCTTGTTGTACTATTAGTAAAACTAGTTTCTTTTAAATTTCTGTTATAGACAATAGTTCTATTTTCTAAAAGTATTGCAGTATAATAGATTCGTGGATTGTGTAATATTGAGTTGCTAGGTAATAAGTTTATGCATTTTAGTGATATCCAAAATAATCATATAATTGTAAAATTCAGATAATGAGCTATTGGTAAATACATTAAATCCACCAAAGATATATACATTTTTCAATTTATTTACAATATCCACCATTCTATTTTTTCCACTGGCACTGTTCCACTCAAAACAGAAATATTTTATTTTGTATTATTGCAATTATATGTATATAATTCTATGTTAGAAGAGTTTGTATTACCAATAAAATAAATAGTATAATTGAATAAACTAATAATTGAAGTAAATTCTAAGAAAAAATAGGGGTAATAGTTATATTGGTAATTATTTTTATAGGTAAATTAAAAATTTTCAGGATATAAATTTATTATTCTATAACTTATAAATTCAAAATTATAACCTATTATATAAATTTTAAAATAAGTCAATATAATAATTATTTTTTAATAATAATAAATATTTCAATTAAAAAAATATAAATAATAATAAATAAATAATAATATAATATAGAACTTGCATAGGAGAAAAACAGCTAAATCCAAGGTTATATATAATTATTATTTATATTTTAGATTATATCTTATATTATTATACATATGCTTGAAATTAATTTTAAATTTAATTAAATTATTTAGATAACTAATAATTAAAATTAAAAAAAAATTTAAATATTAATAATTCAAAATCTTGACTATTAAATTACAATATTTTTATTTAATTTAAATTAATATTGATAATAATATTAATTTACAAAAATTAAAAAAAAATATTAATATTTAAATAATAATATTTTAATAACCAAATATTAAAATTTTATAATTTTATTACCATTGGATTTTTTATAATAAATTGTAAGCTTTCTAATAATATATTGTATATTTTATTGGATTTTAATAAATATTAAAAAAGATATTATATAAAATAAGATTTTTTTAAAAAATTAAAAATTATTTTCAAGCATATATTTAAAAAAAATTTTAAATTTTATTGGAATAAGATAATTAAATATATTTTTTGTTCTAATTAATAATCTTTGCTTATTTCTATATCTTATTATTGATAAAATAATAATTTTTTTTTGGATATATTATATTTGTTTTTCTTGTATCTTTTATTTTTTTATTTTTAAATAATAATATTAAATATACTAAATATAGAACTATATAATTTATCATTAAATTTTATAAATAATAAATATAAACAAAAATTATTTATAATTAATTTATTGATAAATTTTTTTGATTTAGTATATAAATAACTTTCAATAATGTAATTATTATAATTTTGTGTATTTTGTTTTTATTTTTTTTGAGAAACAAAGACAACCATTAATCTTTTACCATTATAACAGTATTATAAATTGCTAGACTAAACTACATCTCTTTTTTATAAGAAGAGCTTAATGCGAGGCTCAAAAATTGGCCCTTTGCCTAAGTACCTATTTAATCCTCAGGTTTTATAGCAAACATTCCAAAACACTTACAAACTCTTGAGTGGTACCTAGTAGGGAGCTAGGAAATTAGGAAGTACCCAAATATATGAAGGCACTGCAACCAATATATAGGTTTGTCTCCAGGTTATGGTTGGAATTTGACACACTTGTTTTCCAAAGTTGGCTTGATAGTATATTTTGTTTTTAAAATATTTAATTAATTCTTTAATAATATAAATATAATTATATTGATTTATTTTTCTTAAACCATCTTGATAATATATCAAAATAGCTATTAACAATATTTTTATCATGATATTTAACAAAATACAATAATTAAAAAAAATTTTTTTATTATAAATTAATAATAAATAATTTAAAATAAAATATATCAATTCTGCTGGATTTCATTAAATTATATTATAAAAAATTTGGCAAGAAGTTTTTTAATCCAATCAGTAATAAATAATAAGTTATGATTTAAGATTTTTGAAAAAAAATTAAAATATTATATTTGAATTATATTATTATTATCTTTATAAAAAATCATAGATTCTAATAAAGAAATTTGTAATTTTTCATAAAAATTTTTTTGGTTTCAATTGAACTATTATTAATTTTAAAATTTTTTTTAAAATCTATAATTATAACACAAAATATAATTATCAATTCAAAAAAGTTTTTATAAAGTATTTATTATTGATTTTTAAAATATAAATGTTTATTTTAACCTATGGATCCATAGCTTAGTGGTTAGAGTACCATAGGTCTGTATTACAACTACAGGTTCAATTCCACTAGGGAGCTAATATGATTTCCTAATTAACAATATGAAAACCTATATGTTATCAGCCTAACCATATAATAATTGATACTTCTAATTATAGAAAACTGGTCTATAAATAGATTGTGATATGATTGAATATCCGAAATTGACTAGGATTATTCCTGACATGATCACGTTGCCAGAAATAATAATAAGAAGAGTAAATTTCAAATTAGTAGAGTATCTCTAAAAGATTCCTAATAGTTGTATTGAAAGATATTAATTAAACATTTGGCTGTGTCAGGTTTTACAGACTTTACTATTGAAAGGTCTTGGTGGGAAGTAAAAACTGCGAATTACTCTAAAGAACCAAAAATCAGGATTCAAGATACTATAATTGACGGTCTAATAATCAAAATACTCTTAATAAAATTGTTCTAAGAAAAATTAAAATAGATTCGCACATCTTTCTAAAAACAGAATAGCATGATTAACCATTCAGGTTTAGGTAGTAGTTATATATAGCATTAAGTTAGATGATATATAGCTAGTTATATATAAATAAGTTAACTATAAACATATATGTATAATACTTGTTGGATATACAGTATATGACACTGTCTTAAAAAGTTTAGTAGGGATTAGCTAACAATATAAACTAGACATAGTATTTGTGGATTGATACTACTGTAATATCTCATGTATTGAAAATATATATTTCAATAAAAGATGTAGCTTCCAATAATAATAGAATTATATAAAAGAAAATCTAATATACTGTATATAAAACCAACAAGTGCATTAAATATAACAAACCTGAAACAATAGATTATGCAATTCAAATGCATCAGGAAAAAATAAATATATATGACAGTTTCATTAAGAATACTATATAAAAAATTGTTAAAAGAAAAGAAGAAGATATAAACGTGACAAATTTAAAAGAAAAAAATTAAAAAAACACTACTGAAGAACACTTTTAATATGATATTAATTAGAAAGGATATATTAACAAAAAAAATAACTTAAATTATTGAAAAATTGATAGGAAAAAACAAAGGAAAGATATACTGCAGCATCATCCAATCAACAAGAAATAAAATTATAAGTATAAAAAAAACAAGAAATAAAAAATACAGAAATAGGAAGAAAAAGAAGATATAATGGTATAAGATAAAAGAAGTACAGGTATAAGATATAAAAGGCAACAAAACACTAAAGATATAACAAAACAAGCCTAGCCATAGAAATATGGCTTTACAATATGGAAAGATATATCACATACAAAAGTCAGTTTTTTGATAATTATATTATATTAAAATCATTTAAAGATCACCAATATAGCCTAGACATGCTGACTTGAACCTTTGTAACTAATATCTCAAGAGAATTAGAGACAAGTTCTAGTGACAAGCCACTATCAAATAAGTAGATTTCACTATATATATAATAGTTTATTTAAATTACAAGTTTTGTAAACAAAAAATAAATAAATAAAGTAAAGTGAATTTGGCCTTGCTAAAGAAAAAAAATATATATATAAATGTTTATTTTAAAAATTAATTTTATTTTGCAAGTGAATATAAAGAAAATATTATTTGAATAAGTTTATTGTAATTTTTTTTTTGAATTTTCTTCTTCAATACAAATTGAATACATATTAGTTTTTTTTTGTATTTTTTTGAAATTTTTAGAACAAAGCTTATAAAATTTACTAAAACTTAATTCTAGATTAGAATTTTGTAATTTTAATTTATTATAACTTTTTTTTTTTCAATAATATATTAAAGAAGAATTAAAATCAAGATTACTATTTTTTTTAAAAAAATAAAGTATTATACAATAAATTGATAAAAAAAAGTTAATAATCTTGAATTTTATAAAAGAAAATTAATAATAAGTTTAAAAATTTCTTTATTGATTTTAAGTTTTGAAGTAAAAATATGTTTTTGATAATCATTTAAAGTAAAAAATTATTTATTGGATTTTTTAAAAACAGTAGAAAAATTATTTATTGCTAAAATTAAAATCAATATTTTTTAATTCAAATTTACTATATAAACTAGCAATTAATAATAAAATATAAATTTATATTTTATAGAAATAAACACTAGTCGAAATTTGATTATTTGGTATATCAAATTATTAATGAATTTTTAAATTTTTTATAATTAAATTTAAGCTAAATTTATATTATTTGGTATCACTCGGCATGAAATCAAATATAAATATTCATTAAACATTTGTTAATAATTTGATTATAACATTATAGCATTTAGCAATGTAAATACAAATATTTGATAGATAACTTAATCATAATTTAATATATTTTATATTTGAATTTTCATATAT